TTTGCCGCACTCGCCGCGACTTGGATGTTACGCTCCTCACCCGAAGGTGGCTTACGGTGGCCAGAAACCTACCCTTAGCCGAGTGTAGATGCCCGTGAACATAGGACTACAAATATTCCCACTATAGGTGTAGATATGGCTGTGTGTCTCTCGATTCGCTTATATGGTCCCTCGCTGGCGCGCCGAGTGTCTCTGTCTCTCTATTCAACACATGCACTTCCAATACTGAAAACCAGTTTTGCCTCATTACGCGCGTTTTTACGGTCTCCTGCGCTTCTTTTCATACCCACTAGCCACTACTTGCAATCGCGGAATTTGTCTTCAACCCCTTCGTTTCTTTTTTCATGCGGAAATGACACTCATTTCAGAGAGGGACATATCCTGAACCGGAATGGTTAAGTCCAAGCAGTCGAGCACTGTTACGCAGCATGTTACAGGTATAATTCTTAACTAACTATACACTGATAGCTGCTGCCCACTCCATAGATCTTACCGCCGATTTAGGTAAATCCTCAGTATCGTATAACAGTAAAGCAGTTGCTAGATCATCCCTGGATTAACTACAAATATAGTCAAAAACTCAAATGGACCAGCATTTACGATGTAAGTTGCCCATCTTTATTTAAAAGTTACCGTTCGACATTGTCGCGTGAGCAAAGCCAGGAACGCGGAGCTTTTGACGCACGCTCCTCTTCTCGTCTTCTTACGGTGAAAAAGGCTCTAAGAGGAGGGGCGAGCCGACCAAGATGTCGTCTCCTGACTCCGCCCATCCTTCAGACACGTTTGCTTCGTCCTATTGGAGAGAAAACTAATTATTAGTTGATGGTTTCAGAGAAATGTTGTCGATGAAGAGGTAGCAACCGAACTGGCGTTTCACCACCGGAGATCACTCGCCGAGATGATCGCTTTGATTAAGGTTTCCACCATGCAGTCTTGCACGCCGCTGACGCTGGAGCATTTTGAAGCGCTGGATTTGGCACGGCCCTAGCCCGTTCCTCCACCGATTGTGGAAGCTGTCAGGCGGTTGGTGGAGAATAGACTGACGCCGCGCCAGATTCAGCCCCCGCATGTAACTCCCCAACGTCTTCGACTATAGCTAATTGATTCATTTTCCCCGTTTTATGATATTTGCTGTTACTAGCGAATAATGGATTGTACTCTGAGAAAGATTTTTATTTATTTATTTTAGCGTTCGTTCACTTCCTTCCAATTCCAGGAATGGCGTTGGGACATATCTCACTTGGACCGTACTATCTTCTTTTGCAACAAAAAGGTCGTAAACAGAGAATCGCTCTTCCTCCTCCGAAAGCTAAGCCTGTGAGATGGAAATTCTTTATAGAGTCTTTGAATTCAAGAAACGCCTATGGAAGGCTTTCAAGATATTGAAATGTCATTTTAGGGCGAATCGCAAGTAGTAGCATCTCCGACTATACACGCCTCGTTGGAGCACAACCTCGATTTGTCTGGTCTCGAAGATAGCCCTGATGTGGACTTTTCCCCAAATAGCTTCCGATCTGGCAGTAGTATTAGTGAGCAGTTTCGAAGGACTCTGGAGGCAGAACGACCGCGACCGCGTCAGAGATAAAGAACGAGAAAAGCCACCCTGCAGAGGACCTGACGTAAGTGTTTTAGCTACTCATGTTGGTATCCTTCATCCACTTGATAATTCTTATGCTGAATAAGAGGTAAAGTGAGAATATCTCATGCGTAAAGGACATTGGTGAGAAATGCAGAGCTTCGTTTTTGGTGAGCTCTATGAGTGTAGATCTAGACTCGCTGTAGGAACGGCTACTGATAAGGCTAACATATGCGTTCATATTTAGCGACTTGCCGCTTTAGAAGAATAGTCTTTTAAGCCAAAAGGAAGTTATAAGTATCGATCTGGAGTTACAGGAAGAATCAAGAATCGTTCGAGCAAGTAGCATTTCGAGCGAAAAGTATAGAATATGTATCGGACGGCGCCCAAAAAGCAGAGTCACTCAGGCCGTTGCAGCTAGATACCTATGCTACCCAATTCGCTCAGAATGCCATAAATACTTTCTATATCACTCAAAAATCCAATTCCACAAAACGCCGAGTTCAGCCTTTTACAGATTTATTTCTCTGCATTTCACGTCTTCTTAGTAGCTCCACAATTCTCTACCAGTGCTCCGTCCCTAAAGACGCATATATGTCTCCGTCCTTAAAGGCGCATATATGTAACGAGGTTAGGTCGCGTTCATACTTCGCGTCTCAAGCGATTCAGTCGCGCGACTGTAGCTGACGACGCTCTACCGCTAATCGTTGGACCGCTGCGAAATTCAAAATAATTTGCGTCCTCACCAATGATCAAATTAGTTTTTTGCGAGATTCTGACGATTAGCGGTGGAGCGCGGTCGGTCGCTTTCGCGCGATTGAAGCGCTTGCAGTCGCAAAGTCTGAACCAGCCTCAGAGGTGATTCATGGGTACTCCCAATTTGTGAATGATTGTGATATAAATTCTTGACATATTGCTAATACCTCAGTAGCGGTATCAACTGGTGTTTTCATTGTTTTATCATAGAACATCGAACGATTTGAACATTTCTGCAATTTATACTGCTCATTAAGGTAAACAGACGTATCTATAAAGATAAAGGGTCGGGGTGAAATTGTTGACAATAAGTATATGTTTTGAACTTGTTTACTAGTTATGGTTTCAAAGCGTTTGCTAGTCTGGAATAGATAATGTGAAAGGGAACGGCTGTAAACAGGGCATATCGTACGTCAGAGATTCCCAGC